CGTCAGGTTCGAGTCCGGTTCAAGCTCGAACCGAACCAGACTCGAACCGAACCAGACTTTTTTTCGGAACCCTACTTTCACCTAACCAAATTAAATCACTTATTTTTTAGATACAGGCGAGAACGGAAACAAGACAAAGCAAATACCGCAAGAAGAAAGTGCAAACAACACGACGAGTCAAGAGAGCAAAGAAAGCAGATTTAACACTACCACTGAAAGTACGAATGTATTCCAATTCTTCTCAGAAGATATTGCTTCGACAGTGGATGGGTTATGCTAGATTGTTTTATAAAATGGTAGTAAGCAATTACCGTCAGCATTATGGAACTACAAAGCAGTTTTTTTCAGAGCACTTCTTCGGCTGAAAATTAGATACACAAAGGAATGGGCGTTTATGGAAAAGGTGCCATATGAGGTGCTTGATCATGCTATTTTAAGTGCTATACAGGACAGGCCAGAGATGAAGTCATTGCAAGAAATCGAAAGAGAAAAGTCAAGATTCTTACAACATACTTTATTTGGTCTCTAAAAAGGATGACCGCCAAACTATTACTATTTGTACCCAGTACTGCCGTGAACCACTTAGTTTTTACCTAAGGCTATTACATAATAAGTTTCTTCTTGCTAGTGATCCGGATCATCTATGCCACAAAGGTTTAACAAAGCCACCACTTTTATCACGAATTTCGAAGACACAATCATTGTTGGCCGAATAATACTGGAAAAGTTACAATGGACTCGAATTAATTTACGAGAGAAGATTAGGACATTGGACATTTGTATGGGTGTATAGAAAGTCTATCCGTGAGAATCAAGCGGAAGAAATTCATGTTGCAGCCATTGATCCTGGTGTCCGAACTTTTCTCACATGATATTCACCCACAATCCGCTATGGCAATTTCGGCGACAATGATATTAACCGTATTATACGCCTCTGTCTTTCTCTGAATGCACTTATTTCACGCACCACTAGAGCACCAGTAAAGAAGCGTAACCCTATAAAACGAGCACAAGCTCGCTTAAGAAAATGCATCCGAAATTTAGTGGATGAAGTACACAAAAAAAATGCATTGCGGTTGGCTCGTACTTTTTATATAATGTTGCTGACATTTGATAGCACAAATTTCATGACGCCGACAAGAAAGAAGAAAATAATAGGACAGTTCGGAAGATGATGAGTTAGGCACATGCGAGGTTTAGGAAACGATTGGGATTTAAAATGGAGGAATTTGGTAAGATTGTTATACGTCGGTGTCAGAAGCATACACAAGTAAACGTGCAGTTATTGTGGTTACATTAAGAGGAATTTGAGTGGAAATAAAGAGTTTAAGTGCGACACATGTGGGATTCGGATTAATAGGGACCGGGGAATTTGTCTCTGGGTATTGCTTTATGGAGCCTTAGTTATATAATATAGCTATGCTAATTGGTTGACTATGTTTAGCTATAGTTGATCGATTCAATCCATCCGTAACAATATAATACACAACTGATGATGCCATATACATGTAGTTTTATAAATACATGTATTTGTTTATAAATTATCAAATTAAATTTCCCTATATCTATAAATTTTTATTGAACGACCACCTCAGTGATTTATGACAAGAAAAGCCATATATTTTAATAATAAAAGGCTCTTTTTTTAATATATCAAATACATACATTCTTTATAGAATTTATTATTAGGATTTAGCTTCCATTTCGTATTATTTAATCGTTATTTGTAAAAAGGGCCATACTTTCATAAAACTCCAACTGTATAAAGATTGACATGCATTATCAATATGCCCACCGCTATTGAATTTGATACATTATTTATTAGTTAAATCTGCAGTTGTAAGGACGTTTTTATTTAGCAGTAAGATAAAAAAAATAACATTTGTATATACTGAATACGTATAAAAGATGTTAATTTAGAAAGAATAAAGAAATTATGGTTAATAAGATACAAATAAAATACATGTAGTTACAAAGAACAGCTTATTTCATTGATTCAATTTTATATGTCTTAGGAAAATAAATCGGTCATTTTAGGATACAAAGATCCCACCATTCGATTCGTCTCGACTAGGCGAATCGAATGGTGGGATCTTTGTGAGAATCGGATCACTGGACGTCGAGATACTATATATGTCGGACGCAATATTTCGACGTCTAGTGATCCGATTCGAGCACAAGTAATACCATTAGCGTTAGTCAAGATGATTAAAATGATAGCATTTGTGCTCGAACCAGATCATTGGATATCAAGATATTACGTTATAAATTGGCTGATTCATTGTATTTAACGTTAGGGTGAAAGCTTATTGTTATGAACACAATTCCCGATATAACCTATAAAAGACATGCATGATCAGTATTGTACGTATTCGGAAATTCTTGGTGCATTACATATGATTTATGGAAAGTTAGGAGGGGTCGGATACTTTTGCGGTTGACTGTATATGCTCAGCTCTTCAGCATGTGGGATCAATCTAAGTAGTCAACAATTGCTAAAAGTGGGATTGCAGGAATTTGTGCCAGGCAACTGAGGATAATCCAAATATTGCAAATGGCATCTGAAAGTGCTTTAGGAATTCTACGATTTTAGCCACTGATACATATTGATCTTGAAATTTATTCTTTGTTTTGTCACTATTTGTTTCGTAGTTTTGCAACACTTCTTTGGTATCGCTATTAATAATGCGCTTGTGCTATATCAAGTTAAAAGGCTCACCAGGAATACATCCAGGTATAAATCTAAAACTTAATGAAATAGAATGCATTTAACTTTTTCTCTATCATTATCTGATATTTCCAATTTAATATTCTTTTATCATGCAGCTAAAAGTGAACCTAGAGTAAAAATTTTAAAATGGAACCTTTTTCTGAAAAACTTTTTATATAACGAAAAAAGTACACTTGTAAATTTGAGGGTGGTCTAGGATATGAATAATTGGGTATTCTTTTTGGCAATAAAACTTGGAGCAGAGTAACATGTGCATATATGTTTATTCGAGATGAGCCGTCGACTTTTATTCTTCATAGAACTTCCATTTGTGTCGTGTAAATTACATTAAAGTTAATTTTAATTATTTTGAACATTTCGATTTATCAAATGTACAGTTAATCTACGTAATCAGCAAAAAATGCAGTCTGCTCGAATTTTGCTAGAATAGGAACGCCGATTGCGGTAAATGACTGGATGCATTGGTACGTGTACCAGTTTTGGAAACAATAACAATAAATCATGGAGTACATGGGCGTATAGATATGCAATCTGGCAAGGTACAAGCTTTTTAATGAGAAAAAGTCAGTCCGCTATATCAAAAATTGTTCGAGTTAACGTCGATGTGATTCTAACTGTTTTATTTTTGTTTTAGAATTTTAATCTCGCTATATATTCGATGCTACATCTTATAATTCTTAAATTTATATAAACCAAAAAAGTCAGTCTCCCCTCATTCATTTGCTTCTTCGAAAGTCAAACTAATAAGCACCATTAGACGCTTTGTAAAATCACAACATAATAAAACATCATGAAAATACATGCGAAATTCAATTAATTCTAATCCGGAGCGTACAAATATGAATAATAAATAATATCACAATCAGTGAAAAATATCCTTCAAAAGATGCCCAGTATTCTTCAAAACATAATCAGCATTCCGTTGCTCATTTCTTACAGCATGCATCACAAACCATATAGCACTATGAACATCACGATTCACGCCATTTCCCTTACGATACCAGACTGCCAACACATATTGTGCCAACGCATCATCATGGGACGCGGAACGACGGAACCAATAAGTAGCCTTCAACCGATCCGCCGCGGTCCCATATCCATTTTGGTAACAAAGTCCGACATGATATTCCGCCATTGAATTATGTACTTTGGCCGCTTCTTGAAACCAATAGAATGCCAATATGCTCGAAGGTGCCACGCCAATTCCTTTCATGTAGCAGTATCCCAAATTGTACTGTCCCGACGTGAATCCGAGTGCTGCGGACTCTTTTGCCCAGTAGAACACTTTTTGGTTGTCGGCTTTCGCGCCGCCGGTTCCATTTCTATAGTTTTGTGCCAGAAAGTTTTTCGCGTATTTGTTGTTGCCATGTTTGCTTGCGAAATGGTAGCAGTCTTTTGGTAATTCAAATAGTTCAGGTATCGTGCTTATCGGGGGTTCTTTGAAACCGAATTCTCTGCAGAATCCGTATAGACAGATTAGATTGGAATAAGCAGAATAGTCGTAATAGACGTTGTTGAGTTCATTACAAAGTTTCTGCATGAAATCAAATTCATCGCTTTTATTCAAATTGATTACATTTTTTACAATTTCTGGAAGAATTCTATAGTAGGTTCCTCGATCAAGTGCTTTGTAAAACGCTGTAGAAACCTTTTCTATTAATTGTTTATTGTTATTATCTTGTTCATTTGTGTTGATACTTTTAATATTATTGCTATGAGTAATATTACTAGATTTTTTAAAGTCGAAAATGTTATTATTATTCATTTTCTTTGACGAAGCGGTAGTTTCCTGGTTTAGTCGATAAGCGAGCATCAATTCGATTTAATAATGTACAGTGTGTAACGCTAGTTCTCGATGCTACATACTTATGATGTAATTGTTCTCACGCTCTAGGGGACATGGCGAAAGTTATATCCACCTTAAAATGTACTTATCGTTATATAGAGATAACTCTTCTATAGGTGTGATTATAGGGGGTGTGACTATAGAGAGTATTAAATATCTATATAGATTTTTCGCGTTTTCAAAAACTCCATATATAAATACGGATTATATTCAATATGTTTAAGTCACTGAAGTCAACTACAAAACACAAAACTCCTTTTGAAACCACCACACTTCAAAAAGAGAATGTCTGGCTTCTAGATATTTAGAATTCCATATTTGGGATAAGCGAATCTTTCATCAGCGATAATCGTAATGTAGTGGTCGAATGCATCTTTGCTTTTCATATAATGATAGCAAATTCCAAGAAGATTTGCATAGATTACATTTTTATAGTTACTTTGAATTGTGATTTTTATTTTTGTGATGCTTTTGTTCTAGCTTCCTCGTTCCATCCTTTGTAAGTTGTTGCTTCATCGTATATTTTTTATGATTATTGCTATCAAAACGCGTTCCATATTTGACATGTTAGTGATCCACCCCGTTCAAAGGTTGACCGAGTTAACCTGGTTTACGGGTCGACTCAACAGTTAAAACTACTCCAACAGCACCCGAAAAATTTTGCTCTAATTAAAAGTTAATTAAAAGGTCAGGATCAGGGTTAGGTTCAGAGTTGAGATTGTATATAAAATTGTCTCCCCGACATTTTTTATTAGTGCTCCAAGCTAGATTTAGATGTCTGTTTTTCGTATTTTTCGCATTTTTTATTTTCTTTGTTTTGCCGGACTGATCAAATTTGGCAATTATTGGTTGCGCAGAATTTGTCGGGATAGCTAACAGTTAACGTTAACTTTTTAAACGGGTCAACTCGGATCACCGTGACACAGAATGTGCAATTGTTTCTGAAGTAATCATTTCTTGCGCTTGTACAAATACATGTAAGGGGAATGAATGCTCTCGATACATGTAATATAACAAATACGTAAACAGTTAAGATTTAATTAATTTGTGCATGTATAAAATTACTGATTTAATTAAATTCAAGTTGAAAAGAATGTAAATTGAATTTTTTCTTGAAATTTTTATACAAAAGTTATTCTATTCTTTCAAATAGACCAGATTTTACTGAATAGAAAACAATAAAACGAATTTAGAGTTGCTTCTTTGACATGTATAACTATAAGGCAATTAATTAGAGAATATATTAATTGATATCGATTCCTTTAGATCACCTTCTATTAATTTTTCTGAGCTAGCTATGAAGCTACTGGTGCAATGGGGCACTTGATGCAATAAGTACCACTGGTATAATGTCAGATGCTTTGAAACCACAGGTGCTTTTGGATCTATGTGTGCAATTGCTGTTGGTGTTGATTTTGCTGATATATTGTCAAAGACTTGAAAAATTCCACCATTGGCAAATCGATCAGTAATAAGAACGTTTTTAAATGTTTGATTTAGGTGCTGCATGAAAAGAATTGTTATGCCTGGATATTAAATAAAATCGCGTCTTTTGCATCATTTTAAATGATCTCTGTGTTGATGAATTTTTTTCGACATTATAGCATTTATATAGAATGTTAAGTGTTAAACAAAGAAAAATTGCGTCTATTTATTATTTAGATAACACTAATATTTATGTTAAAAATATTGCTTTTTCGATTATTTTTCAATTAATAAAGTAATATAGGAGATGTCAGCGTTTGAGACAACGAATATGCAAGAACCGATTTTTGTCTGCCATTATTTTCATTGGGGACTATACTTTTACATAAGACATGCTCTATTATTTTTCTAACTAATCACAAGTTGTCATATCAAAATAAAGAATAATAGATATTAATTAATTATCAAGAGGAATAATTAAATCTGAATTGTTTACTATAAACTTGCAAGTTAATTTAGACTTGTAAAAATTGTTGTAATTGACTGTGGTTAGGATCTTTGATCCAGAAAAGACATCGATATCATTAATGAAATATTGATTGATTGTTGAATAATTTAAGGCTTTAGCTAGAAAAAGCAATGATTTGAAATTAATATTAAAGACAGTATTGACAAAGAACCTTATCTAAAACTCGAATAACCCAACTTTCTCTGGAATTCTTCTCGACTAAGATATCTGTAGATAACAGCACAAAATTAAAAACTAACAACAATATGAAGTCTATTTATTCACTCTCCCCAACCCATTGTTGCAGGAAAATGTCTAATTGTGATCCACCCATAACGAAAAAGCAATCACAATAACGAAGCAAACAATATAAAAAAAGTAGAGTTTATTTTCACCAAATTGTTCATGCATCAGGATGTTTTTTTATGTAAAATTTATATCGATATATGGTGCAGGAACTCTTAAATTGACAATATGTTTCATGTAAAAATTCTATCAATTTCTGAACTAGAAGTAAATACAAAATTGAACCGGTAATATTATAGAAAAGAACTTTCTTGATAATATTACCGGTCAACTTTTGTATTTCCTTCTTAGTTAAGAAGTTGATATAATTTTAAGATGAAACATATTATCGATTTAAGAGTTCCTGCACCATAGGGGTTTATAAGAATTATATAGATTTCCACGTAAATTTTATGTATTACTGGATTTAAAATTCTTTGCGAATTTTACGTATTACTATATTTTTTTACATAAAATTCTTAAACCAATTTTTACGTAAAAATACACTTTCATGAATCTTCATAGAAAATATTGATATCTACAACCCAGTTCACCACCGTTTCATGCCATTCTTTGTTTAGATGATACTTTCTTCAAATAATTACCCTAAATAAAACGGATAGTTGCAGACGTATTGAATGAAATGGTAAAAGGTTTTACTTTCTGGTCCCCTTGTACTATTAGAAGAAAGCGAAAGATCTGACAGACAGACAGGTGTAGGGATTAAATTCACATATGTTATAAATTCTGTGCAAATCACATATTTTGCAATTAAAGCTATTATAATGTAACAGATATATTTGTGGACAAAACAGCGGAAAATATTTAAGACTCTTCGGACGAAGAAACTAACTAATACTTTCTCAAGGACGTAAAAATTATAATCCAAACTTACGTATCCAATTACCAAAAAACCAAAGAAGGAACACTTCAGTTAAATTTGAATTTATTCCTGACAACTCCTACAAAAAAGATGGACTAATGAAATTGCATTCTGGTATCAACGTATACTGTATTTTGTGGAATATAAGCAACATCCCCTGTATTAATTTTTCATCCTCCCTAGAAAAATACATAATTACGTATATACTCTATATGCATATTGATAAATTTTGTCGATAAATTTTAATGTTAATCTTCAACTTTTTAAAAATATTATGAATTATTTCTAAAATTCATCTACAAACTAGGTTTTCATAAATTTTCACTTTTAGTAAATGTATATTGCTTATTTTACATCCAATTCTGCCATTTTTTATAATTCTATCTTTAAAGTGTTTGTTAATACAAACATTTAATGTTTGAACAAGTGATGTAAAACCACCAGGTATATTATCTAAATCAATATTATTTTGTTGATATTTTTATTTGACAATTCTTGGTTTATGATCTTCAAACTATTAACAATGATTTTTCATTTAATTTAAAATAATTTTTCTATATTTTTTGAAGCCAAGTTATCATTAAATTTTCATTCATCCAACCATTTCTTGCATTCTAATTATAATTAATATTAAGATAAAGATCTTTTGGAGATTTTTTGCCTTTAAAAATCATCATAAGTTTAAGCTTAGTTCCATCAGAAAGAATTGTTAAAACACATGTAAAGTGATTTTTGTCATTTTCTATAATGCATACCTTTTTTCTATTGTTGAATTACCAAACATATCAAAAAAAAATTGGAGTTTCATCCATATTTACAATTTGTGATAAAGAATATTGAATTTAAGAGTATATTTTAATAAATATTCTAATTTCAAAGAAAGATCTTTAGGTAATTTTTATTCAATTTTGTTTTTTGACATATAAAAAGATTATAACATTTTATAAAGTCATAAAGCCAGTTATAAGATGCTATAAAGATAATTTTATCATTAGAATATTGTTGTGAGTGTTCATTATTAAGAAGAGTTTTTATTTTTTGTTGAATCATATAGGTTGTAATAGCAATTCCATTTTGGTGCAAAATTTCAATTCATTTATTTAATTCTTCAATATCTGGGTATAAAGTTTTAAACCAGCAGCAATACAGTGATTGTAGATTTAGCTTTTGATATAGCTGATTCATTTTTATTTGATATTTGTGCAAAATTAATTCCATATTTTTTTTGAGCATTTCGTAAAGAATTTTGTTTACAATAAGCAATAATGCGAAGTTTTTCTCTGGATATATATGAAGTACGAAGGATTTGTGCCATAACAGAAAATATGATATGAAAAATACCAAACTAGTTTAAATATTTTTTTAATGACGATGACTTTTAATCATTTTTTTAAATTTTTTAAATAATAGTGACTTTCTTAAATGTTTTATCGTTTTTTAACAATAACGATAACTTGAATATGAATTTACATGTCTCACATTCGATAACCAATTAAAATTAATTTTTAACGAAGCAGCTGATCAAAAGTTTGGCACTATTTTTTTAAGGTTCAAAAAAATAGGGTAAAAACCAATACGGGATGTTGCTTATATTCCGCAAAATACGATAATCAGGACTCTAAAACCATTATGATGCGCTTACATACAAGAAGATTGCCGCGATGACTTTGGAATCACGCAATTGACAATGTTTTTAATAAAATTTATGGCGACAATTTCAATTCACAAAAATATCTGCTGGACATTCACATACCGCTTTTTTCTGTTAATAAACTTGCTCGTATCCTTGGCATTATTTTCTTAGTATATTCAGCAGTTAATTTTGACCTAAAAGAAAATATTCCGCACTATCATGATAACAATCAGCACAAATTTTCTTGCCTGCTTTGAGACTGATGTTGGTAAATAAATCTGTGGATACCTGGAAGCCGCCACTTGTATCAAATATTTTAATTTAGTAAGCAATCTATAGGACACCTTGCTTTTTTCTCGGCGATAAAATTGAAAAGTATCCAATTTCACGTTTATAAATCTTTAAATAAATATAACAGATACAAACACTGCAAGTATATCAGTAATTTGTTTTTTTTTTTGACTATTTAAATAAATGACCAAGCGGCTAATAGCTACTGAGAGTAGTGATGGACAAAATTAGGTATTTGCTATTTGACAAGTGCTTTGGTCGCTTATCATTTGAGGTCACTGTCTGGGAATATATACAGTATAATATTATTATCAGTTGCAAAAAATTGCTTGAAAATATTTCATTTAATCTGTTATGAGACTAGTTGTAATAGCTGGTTGGCTGAAAGAAAAGTTAATAAACTTCCATTTCGAAATAAATTGGTTATTCAGTTTGCATCTAAAACTTGTAGATTTGAGTAACGAATTTATTAAAGTATTTACTGGAAGATGTTCATTTCCAACCGATATTCAAGGATTTTCCCTTAGTAAACCTATCGAGTTGAGAATCATAGATACTTAAACAAGTTTAATTATACAACGTAATACATGTGAGTGAACTTACGATATAATAAAGATTTTTTAAAAATCCATTTCAAACCACTAATAATGAATCTATTGTTTACTATTTTTTTTAAAACGAAGTTTTAGGCGAGTAATTAGGAAGAAAGTTATTTTATAAAAGAGGATAAACACCCATTTCCTATCATTTGTTGATTACTTCGTGAGCATCTGCTTCTTGCTGAGCAATTGTTACGTTGATGGAAATAAGGATAGTCTTTATCTGCCAATAATTCAAATAACTCCGGTCAGAGCAAGGCTGAACATCAGGATTTGGAGAGTTTGCTCTACTGTTTCATTAGAGCAATTATATAAAAGACAAATTGTAAAAAGAATGATATTAGGTTCAATGTTTTGCTCGTGATGGAGTTGCATGAAATTTGTTGAATTTCCGAAAACTAATATTATAGTAGTTGTATGTAATGTAATTGTCGTATCTGTTGTCTCTACTTCTCAAGTTAACTATCATCCCATAATTTCTGCATTTGTATCCTAATGAACTACGTACACTAACACAAAAACCTATCCATAGAACAGAGACATCGATTGGGATACAGTACGTATACTACATGAATACGGTACGTACGCATATAAATTGGGTGCTTGAATGAAGTGTTCACTTATCTCACCAACCTAACCCTCTTTCTCTCTATTTAAAGTACCAAAAAGAAATTTATTCGTGAAAAATTTTCTATTTTTTTTATAACCAAACGTGCACGTAGTGTTTTTTATTATTTATGATTTAAAATTTATACTTTTAAAAATACCGGTAAAGAAATCGATCAACCTCTTCTTCGTCTTTATACTAGTTCTCACATTTTATTAAATTTTTACAACGGACACAATATTGCATTTTTCATCAGGAAATAATTAGTCATCCTAATTATGAAGAGTTGGATCATAATTTAGCATCACCCTCTTCATCTTTCAAAGAAATATGGCTGAGAAAGCAAACGACCTTAATTTATTTAGCGAAAATGAAATCAAGAATCAATCGCAACAAATTGACATTAAACAACTGGAAAAAATTACATTGGATGATTTATTGACACTCTTCAATAATATCTTTAAATACAGTGAAAATTACAAAAAATATTTAGAGAAGCTCATTAAATTATTGAAGTAATATCTCTTAAATCTTTTGATAAAGTACAATTTTTTCAAAGTTTACAAGTTAATAAAATATATAAAAATTCTTGGCTTTATTTTGGGTGTTATTGTTAACAAATTATAATCAAGGAGATGCCGTAGCACAATATTTAATTGGAAAATTATACATGTACAATGATGAGGATTGGATAAAAAGAGATAAGCTAAGAGCATTCGAATGGTATTTAAAATCAGCAGAGTCTGGATATCCTGAAGCACAAAATAATCTTGCCCTTTGTTATGCAGATGGAGAAGGAACAATCAAAGATGAAGAAAAAGCATTCAAATGGTATTTAAAATAAGCAGAGTCTGTAGCACTATAGCACAATATAATCTTGCCCTCTGTTATGCAGATGGAGAAGGAACAATTAAAAATGAAGAAAAAGCATTTGAATGGTATTTAAAATCTGGCGATCCTAAAGCACAATATAATCTTGCTCTCTAATATGCAGATGGAGAAGGAACAATTAAAGATGAAGAAAAAGCATTCGAATGGTATTTGAAAGCAGCAGAATATGATATTGATAGAGCCCAATTTATTCTGAGATCTAGTTACGAAAGACATAAAAACACTAAAATAATTGAACGTACTCTGTTTAAATTTGTCTTACAATCAGCAAATAGTGGCTATACTCGCTTACAATTTCGATTTGGGCAATGTTATGAATATGGAGAAGGTACAGACAAAGATGATAAAAGCATTTAATTGGTATTTAAGAGCAGCAGAGGCTGATGAGAATAAAGCTCGATTTACTATTGAAAAATTTTATCATTATGGAATAGGAATTTCAAAAAATCTCGATTTAGCTTTAAAATGGTATCAAAAAGCTAAAGAAAATGGACACGATCGAGCTCCTGAAATGGTTGAATCTTTTAACTTTGAAGAAGTTTATTCAAATTGGTATTGAACATTTAATCTAACTTTATTGAATTTACTAGAGTTCATCTTTGATTGGCACACTTTATCAATATTTATTAACGTTAACGTTAATGTTTGTCATCATTTTAATTATATCGATATTTTATCGTTATATTATGTTTTAGTACATGAGCATCAGTATTCATAAAATACGAATTTATTATTTCACTGTTCTATTAAGCATTACCATTTTGTTTAAATTCAAAAGCAATCAATAATAAATTAATTGTAGAAAACGGATAATTTGGTTTGGATTCCGGAAACCACGATTTGTTTTATCGTTATTGTTATTGCAAATAAAGATTTACATAATACAATTGCAAGAATTTTATACCTGATAACTTTTTATAATTTAGAATTTTAAAATATAATAAGTCCGTAACATTTCTTTTATCAAGATATTTTTGGATCACTTCTGAATCTTTATTGTAGGTTGCGTCTTTGAAATCGATTTTGAAAATAAATATCAACTTTGCGATTTGACAATAACGATAAGTTCAGATGAAAATTTTTCAACAGTTAAGAAGAAATACAAGCAAGCAAGGAAAAAAGTATAATACACTCCAATTTCGTCATAGTAAACTCTCGTTATAGTAAAGATATAGTAAAGAATAATTAATCCTCCTCTCGATATAGTAAATTTTTATCTAACTATAACGATGAGGTTTCAATTTAATAAATAAAAAGAAATAACAATCATTATAATCCAAACATCTCCAAAGAAAGATTACATCTTTTATCGACACCCATACGATAACACCGCAGCGCCATATGAATATCCTTTAAAGCACCAATACCCTCATGATAACAAGCACCGAGATAGTAATCCCCAGTCGACCAATCTTGCGACGTTGACTCATTCGCCGCCTTTCTATACCACCAAACAGCTTTCCGCGCATCTTTTGGGACACCGATTCCTTTCTCGAAGCATTTGCCGAGTTTACATTTCGCCGGGCTAAATCCGTTGTCCGCAGATTTTTTGTACCATTGAAATGCGATATTCTCGTCGACCGGTGTTCCGATTCCTTTTCGATAGAATCGGGCAATTTTGTATTGTACCTCGGGATCTAAACATTCGACTGCTATTTTGTACCATTTGAAAGCGCGTTCCTCATCTTTATCAGTCCATCGGCCGAAGAGATAGCAGTCGCCAATTGTTACTTGCGCATCCGTGTATCTTTAATTTTATAATTATTTATTTTCTGTTTTATAATAGCACAAAAGAAAGAAAAAAACAAGATTTACCCATTTCCAGCAGAAATTTTATACCAATGGAATGCTTCTTTCGTATCAATTTCCACACCCCAACCTTGTTCATAACACAATGCCAGATTAAACTGACCCACAGCATTTCCTAATAAAGCAGCCAACTTGAACAGTTTTATTGCCTTCGTGACATCCTTTTCTGTTCCGAAACCATTCAAATAACAATGCCCCAAATTACAATGTCCTCGAATATTTCCCAACTTAGACGACTTCTTATACAACAAAAACGCTTCATGTTCATTTGTCTCCACCCCGGTGCCGTCCAAATAACAGTTGCCCAATGATGCTTGTGCGAATGGGTCGTTGTTGTCCGCGGCTGTTTTGTATGATCTGAATGCCATGCTGGGGTTCGTTGGTGTCCCGATGCCGTGTTCGTAGAAACAGCCGAGTAGGCACATTTGTTGGAGTGATTCTTGTGTTTTTTGTTTGTTGTTATTGTTGTTGCAAGCGTTGGTCTTTGTGTTTTCTTGTTGTATTGATGTTATTTCTTCGAGTAGTTCAAATATTTGGGTGGAATCTATTTTACGGTCTTTTAAATATTTTTGTATTGTGAGTACTAATTTTATCCCTCGCTCTCCTTTGGTCGCCGATTTGATGCATATTTTTGTCAATTCTTTAATCGTATCCATTTTATCCATTCGTCCTTGTTGTATCATTTTCAATAAATAATAGCTGTTGACAGTCTAATAATCGGTTTTCTCATTATCAAAAATATTCGGTCAAAATAATTCTATACGTATGTGAAAGGACACGCTAAATTCTGTTCTGTCGTACTTTATTTACTCTTATCGGTATAAATAAATGACTTACAGTGACACAATCAAACTACTTTTGAATAGTTATTATTATCGTTATTTCACATGGTTTATTTATCTTTTTCATAAAAAATTACATACACAGGATTTGTGTCGCAATAAGCAGCAGTGTATCGGTATGTGCATTTTTAATAAAACACCTAAATGTGTGCTGTTTTCTGTATCAAAATAATTCTTACTGTTTCCATTAAATATTAATCGGTCTTCCAAGTAACGAAAAAATCCATCCATATCATCGTAAATATATCAAGTCAAAAGTTAACATGGAAAATATCTTCGAATCGAACTCCGTAAAATCATCATCATCACAGCAACAGCATCATCGACGAATCGAAGAAAATAGTCAACATGAGAACCAAAATCAACTTCAGAATAGTAATTCAGAAGAAGAATCGGATATTTTTGTCTATTTGAGCACTAGCTTCTCGGATAGTGGTCCTCGAACGCCTTCTCCGAATTCACTAAATTCCGAGGAAATCAAATATCTACAAAACTATCATCTCCTGAATCTCTGTGAACTCGTAAAACACGGACCAAAACCATTAATTGATGCAAGCAGCAACGAATTGGAACCAATACTGAAAAAGTTGCAAGAAAAGATCGAAACATCGGTGATAAGAACCGAAAGAAAAAATATCGGAATAATGATAACAGACTTACTGCAAAATATAGGAATAAATCTCGATGAATATTTCCAGATATTATCGCGTTATCCATTTAATTGGACTTATGCGGGAACATTGGGATTCCTTTATGAATACGGAGTCGGAACAACAATAAATCAACAGAAAGCGTTCGAGCGCTACGAGATCACAAAAGAAAATGGCGATATTTTCGGGCAGGTTTCGCTGGGAAATTGTTATTTGGATGGTCGAGGAGTAGCTGTCGACGCACAGGAAGCGTTATACTGGTACAGGAAAAGTGCCGAACTTGGTTGTTCACGAGGTCAATATAACATTGGATATTGCTATTTCAACGGGATCGGTGTTGAAAAAAACGATAAGTTGGCATTCGATTGGTACATTAAATCCGCTAATGCAAAAAACCCCGCGGCGATGTGCAATCTCGGATACTTTTACAATCGAGGGATCGGCTGTAAAGAAGACAAAGTATCCGGCGTGTATTGGTTCAAAAAAGCGGCCGAATACGATTTCGCGCAAGCACAATATAATTACGCGGATTGTTTGCGATGCGGGGAAGGCGTCAAACAAGACGAAAAAAAAGCATTGTTATGGTATAAAAAGGCAGCGTACATGGACAACATTGATGGAATATACATGCTCGGATACTGTTACGAGAATGGAATCGGAACCGAACGAGATCTTGCGCGTGCTTTCGAGTGGTATCGAAAAGCTGCGTTCGCTGGTGATTGTCAAGGTCAATTTGCGGTCGCGAATTTTTATCTTTTTGGTACGGGAATTTTGCAAGATTTTCGTAAGGGATTCTACTGGGCGTATAAAGGGGCTAGTTCTATCACTTCTTCGTCATCATCCAATAATAACAATAATGGCAGCAACAATAATAACAATAACAATAATAGCAGCAGCAGCAGCAGCAACAACAATTCCGCAGCGGCTTGTATCGGCCAATTTACACTAGCATTATGCTATTCTCGCGGATGGGGGACAAATACTGATATACACGCCACAATCCTATATAATTATCGAGCTCATAAAAATGGGGATGCGGAGGCGATTCTTGAATTGACTCGCTTATTTGAACACAACACTATTATCACATAATGTGTGTCGTTTATAACTATGTTAGTGTACTGTACCTGATAATAATATGTGATAAATCAATAGAGATAACATTTTCATTTTTTGATAGTTTATTTGTTCGCAAAACAAACTGTGTAATGTTATCGTTATGATTAATTTCTCTGGAAATCCCCAAACGGAAAATGTCCAGCACCGCCAGGGTACGCGCAATTGGACCAACTGGACATATAAAAAATTACACAGTGGACTACTGGACTTGTAAAAATTTTATAAGTCCAGTGGACCAAAAGTCAAATAAAAGTGACTGGACTTAGTACAGTGCCCAACGTCCATTCAGTGAAATACTGTCGCTAATCGAAATTCGGCAATAAAGATTACAGTTGACTATAGTGAAGTTTGTGTTAGAGCTTCAACCTTCATTATACTTGTACAAATATATACGTAACCAGCCATCACATGATTATTCTTTATTATATCGTGTACTTTCGAAACTTTAAGAAAGTCAACGGTATTTAAAATCACATACAACTTTTGTAAAGCTTTAAATATGGTCAACCAGTGATAAGAAGAAAAACAATCGAATAAACCTGTCTTGGATAGTTAAAGGAGTTCGATGAAACCGCAAAATAGCAACAAGTTCATTTACTCCCTTCTCGGAATACCTTACGTCATCTCTAACAACCAACAGCTCATTTATATTGTCAGCGAAAAAAAAGAACGACTATTGTGTTTGTAGTTTATTGCGATTATCGAATCTGACAGCAAATGCGTGTCGTATTTGTAAGAACTGTTATTAACCTCAAAATGAGATTAAAATTGAACTTTTCGCAAGTACATCTCGTAACTTTATTCGGAATATTTATCACAGGTACATGTATGTAATTGGAATTTTTCGCATATTTAACTGGAGTATTTTTTTCAGTCTACTGATCTCGGAAAGCAATATCTTTATTCATAGTCGGACTTGTAGAAAACTAAATTGTAATTAAAAATCCTTGAATGTAAGCTATCGGTGCAATGAATAGAATTCTTATTCAATTTGTTCCTCGAATTTACTGCTTTTAATTTGATTTGAATAGAAATGATTTCTTTTGCTGGACATTATGGCAGGAACGGAGAGGTCCGTTATATTGATTCAAAGAATTTTTTAAAAATTGGACTAAATTAAGGGAGGTACTTTGCTATATTTATTGTGAAAATGCTATGTTGCATTAAATAATTACTATTTTTGTGATTTAACTTTGATACTAACGCTAATCTAATAGAAAAATTATTTATATAGATTACTCAGAAATATGAAAATATTTGATACAATACAAATGGTGGCCTCCAGGTATCCACACTATTACGTTTATTCAACAATATCAGTTTCAAAGCGTGATGTAAATCTCCATTAACATAGCGACTTTTAATATATAAACGAGCAAGTTCATCAACAGCAGGATTGAACTGCTTTTCCGCTGCCTTCTGAAACCAGTAAACTTGCTTTCTAATAGGTTGTGATTTAGCATGCTTATAAGCGGCATGTGGATGCCCAGCTTTTGCTCCCATCTCATAATACTCAAGATATTTTTGTGAATTAGTATGGTCGCCATAAAGTCTATCAAAAAACATTGTCAATTGCGTGATTCCAAAGCCATCCCCGAGATCCGCGGCAATCTTGTAGTATTTAAACGCGTTATCTTGAGTTACGATTATATATTGATACCAGAATCCAATCAGGCTAGCATGAATTGCATCTTTTTTGGTAGGAGTCGACGGGAATAAATTCAAAAGTAACTGAAGTGTTTCTTCCTTGGTTTTTTTATAGAGGGTTACGTAGTTTTTGATTATGATTATCACTTCATTGTCCCAGTGTTTGTTAGTTGCATCGTCATATACTCTTGCTAGCTGTTGAACAAAATGTTTTTCTTCATCCAAGGTGTCTTGAAAAATTTCCGTTGTTTCATCCATAAATATCTTGTGCGAGATAATATCGATATCTTGGTGAGTACACAAAAAAGGGGTAATGTATGACCTAATATATTAATTGAGACCATAATAGTCAATCACTGCTTGATACAGTATAATTTACGTAACGGTAATGATATTACGATTAGTAATAGAGCCATATGCAGGAATGAGTCACATGAAGCCAATAAAAATGCAGCAAGTAGAATATACATCATGTGTTTACATGTATATGAAAGTAATCATGTATTTTTACATGAAGAAATACAGCCAATCAGATATGGGTCATGTGATATATAAGGTGCTGAAAAATTCAAATTAAATATTTAGATGCAAATTCTTTACGGTTCAAAGAAAGGCTGTCTTTTAGACAATTAGACAGCGTGAGAAAAATATTTGAGATAAGAATATGCAAAATCTTAGTTTATCAATTAGATTTTGTATTACTTTCTTCCTTTATATTTTTAGACAACTTGTCTAGGACTCACAATTTTCTAAAAGATAACCTTATTGGGGGCTTTAGACTTTCTGCACCATATACATTCTTTGTACGTACATGTATTTTGTGTTTTGGTTTCGCCTAATTTGATCTACAAAGTATTCCAAAATTAGGGAGTTGGCTAAAGCCTGGTGGACATGTGACTCAGTTCCTCTAAATTTTCCGCGTGCAACCGATAAGGTTAGAATAAGAGTAAGGGTTAGAATTAGAGGACAAGGTTATATATAAAATCGCCTTCCTAACATTTTAATTAGTATTCCAAGACAGGTTTAAGCATCGGGTTTCTTGTAATATTCATTTTTCATATCTTGTGTCGGATTTGTTCTGCCAGGTTGATCAAAAATTTGTGCATTCTTATTGGTGATTGACAAAGATTTACGCACTCCTATTGGATGGATTACACGTGTTCACCAGGCTTTAGCCAACCCCCAAATTAGGGTCGTCGAACGTGCACATCGGAAATCCGTGCCAGGTTTTCTCGATCAGCCAATAAGAATGATACGAATGCAGAATTTTTAATCAGACCGGCAAACAAATCTGACACAAGAAAAGGAAAAATACAAGAAATGCGTGCCTAAATCTAGCTTGGAGTTCTAATTAAAAACGTCCGAGAGGCAATTTTATAACCCCACCCCTAATACTAAAACCAACCTTCTAATACTACAGTAGAATTCCCCGATATCAACAAAACCTGGCACAGATTTCTCACGTGCGTGTTGTGGGCGTACATACGTGTGTCATTTTCACGCATAAATCGATCTTTTTTAAATAAAACAGCCAAAGATGGTATCTATCCCTTTGAAAGGTTGGATATCTTGCAAAGGGAGGTTTTGGATCAATTTATAAAGCAACCTGGTTGGACGGACCATTCCTCAAGTGGGGTTCAAATTCACAATGAGGAATTGGTGCATCGCGATTTTCACCCTGGAAACATATTAATACTGCGTAGTGCTGCTGATTTTGGACTTACCAAACCAGCAAATATAGAAAATTCCGATAAAAAAATTTGCAAGTACTTCCTTATATGAGTCCAGAGGTACTAAATGGAAATCCATGCACTAAAGCTGCCGATATTTATAGTGGGGGTGATTGCATACGAGGTTGTCACAGTATACGACCATTTGGAGATCAGAGTCATGATAGAAATCTCGTGTTAGACATACCAAATTATGTTCCCGGATGCTGCAAATGAAGAAATTATTGAGTGTCTTAAACTAAAAAGCAGAAATGGAAAGAATTTGATGAGGAGATGAAAAAACAAGCAATCCACTCCAATGCAGTTTACACCAGTTGAATCTTCACAGGTATTTTTTTTTATTTCCAAATATAAATCATTGACAGTTCATATTAATTAAAATGTCTAGGAATGTCAAGTATCAGTTTGTTTGTTCAAAATTACATTTAATATTATTTTTTTATTTTATTCATATCGATATAAAATATTCTCGAAAATCTACTTTTTAGAGGCAGTATAAAAAACGCAGTAATGTCATTTTGTTAGTTTCTCGAACTTGTCGTTTAATATTGTAATACGAACATGATACGTACGTTCGTACCGATATCGATAACGTATAATGTATATGATGCAGTAGAAATTTTCTTATTTGTTATAGAAAAACAATTGCTTATTCTTTTTTTGAAAAGGATACATTGACCTTTGAGTGGCGGTAGCAGAACGATATCTGTCATTATCTATCAGATGGACGGACGGCGTGGAAATAAAAACTGGACTTTTTAACATACGTTCGGAGTGGCGGCACAATGGGTCCCAAAACCAAAAGTCAATCTCTCGATAAACAAGTTTTTTCTATCATTCTGATTATTTCATCCGATTTCAACCAATTCAGCCTGATTGGTTTTCATGGCGATAGAACTTCAATTGGGCGATTGCCTTGGGAGGGGTGCGTTTGGTTCGGTCTATCATGCTTTAAATTGGTCGAGCGGAATCAGAACTCGATGTTATAATGGCATGTATTTTAATTGTCATTCTTAATAGTTTATTCGTTTGCTTGTTTTCTTTATTAAATTCCTTTGAATTTTAGAGAGATTGAGCTATGAGCTCAATGTAAGCATTTCTTTTTGGGGCTTTTTGTTTCTCTGTTCCATATTTCGAATGGAAATACTTTATATAGCATGATAATATATTGAATTCGAAAAGATGGAATAAGTGTTCTGAGTGAATTAATGTATATTATACATTGACATTCTAATCTATGCGAAAACGGCTATGCAAAAAATTCGTAAAATTTCCCGGACATCTCGTAGCATTCTACTGTTATGTCTTCTCGAAAGTTTGTTTAACTAACGAAAAAGATGTTAACACAATAGTTGTGAGCAAAACTGAATGATTTACTTAAAGAGGAGTTCTCTAAAGGTTCTAAAGTTCTTATATGCTGATTTTTACGAAGGTAAGGGTCTTTTTAAGTAAAGGTGTTTTCGGGTAAATACTAACTAAACTTTAATTGCTTTAATTAACAAGTAGGATTTATTGATACGACCTACAAAACAAATCGATGTTCACAAATATCAAAAAGCGCTTTAACACTAAAGAATTGGACTTATTGATGCGGCCAACAAGATATTATATTTTACAAGTTGGCACTTTTATTGAATCAGAGCATGAGATTTTTCTCCTTAAGAGAAACTCTTATTTTATAATAATTCTTTAGAAAACTAATTACATATTTTGTATTATAGACTAAAAATAATAAAAATATCAGCTAGAAATTATTCACAAGAAAATTATTCATTAAAAATTATCAACTGAAAATTATCAGCTCGATAACACAGACGATTATCTAAATACACAAATGAGAAGTGTTTGACAAAGAATTTTCTGAAAAGGAACAATATATATTAAGTGCTAAATAATATCTACTGGAAATTATCAGCTAGATAACACGAAGATAATTATAACGATAATACATGTAATGGTAATACACGTGATGGTAATACATGTACATGTAACGTTAATTTGATAAGCATACGAAATGTGACTGGATAAATAAATTTGGGAAAGAAGTTAAGTATTGAAAATCGATTATTAAATAGAGCTCTCTCCAATTGGGATCGTGTGACTTTTGATGGCGAGTTAGAGAGCGAAAGTCTTTCTGAACCTGATGCGAGCATACGTATGGCCTCTTACCGGTATGTTGAGCGACAATGTAGAGCTAGCGATGAAGCGTGGTGATATATTAAAAAATTTACAAGTAAGGAATATATATTATTAAAAGTTTAAAGAAATTTACGATCAAGTTTAATTAAGATTTGAGTGGAATATTTTGTATTTAATATATGCATGTTAAAAATTAGTGCTCCAACCAGGTCGGGTGCATCCGTGACCGACCCGGAACGCACATTTCGGGTCAGCCTAAAAATCGTAGTTGCTCGTTCAATATTAATTGAAATTAAACGAATATTTGTGGATATATACACAATTACATTCCGAACAATTCTACTTAGGACACAAAATACAAGTTTCTTAATGAAAATAAACGTTATTAACGAAAATCTATTTAACGAGTTTCGAGTCCAACCCGACCCGAACAGAGCTTTAAATTAAAATATTTATGGATTATATCAAAAATTACGGTATGCGAATTTGATAACAAATACTATTTAATTTATCAGGCTTATAAATATCAAAGATACAATGATAAGAAAAGATAGATACGTATAAGTTTATTTAACAATAAGAGTCCATAAGTATCCTTAAAATATTATTGTCGTTTGAATTCGATGTAGGAAGCTGGTTATTCAAAATAATGTTAGTTCCATTAATGATACCTTGCGTCATGTTCAAATAACTAGCTGAGGGTTGTTGTAGGTTTTGTTGGTTATATTGATTATGTTGTTGATTCTGTTGGTTATGTTGTTGATTCTGTTGGTTATGTTGTTGATTCTGTTGGTTATGTTGTTGGTTCATATTTTTTATTATAAGGTTAAATTGAACTAAAAAATGTTTTTTTGAAATTGACAGTAATTTATTATTTGAGGAAATTGGAGCTGGTTTTATAATCAGTAAGAACTTGTAAAATAAACTATGAAATGACAATTTCTAAGGAAAAAGATTAATTGTATATTGAACAATTGCAGGAATTTTTACGTAATGATCGACATTCGGACAATGACCGCAAAAATTTTTACCGAATGATCGGCATTTGGACAATGACCGCAAAAATTTTTGTCGCTTATACAGATACATGTACATACCGGTACGTACTCAGAATTTGTACCCATTCAAGATACATGTATATCGAGAATACCTATAACGATGTCTAAGACATATTCTGTTATTTATTACACTTAATTTTTTTGGGGGAGGCGTTAGATATAAATACAAATGATTCTATAACATTATACATGTAACAATAAAAGGAGCAATATATATTCAATTAACTTACGATTCAAAGTTTGATTTGTATAAGAACAAAAAACTATTTGTTTCTCAAATATACAAAGAGAATAGTTTATTCCAGCACCTTCAAAGCCTTAATATGTGTCGTGTGATTCATATTTATTTTTTGAACAGATATCCGAAAAGTTTTATTAGATAGAAACAATTTCTCATATGAACGCCTGATATTTTAAATTGATTAAAAAAGAATGTCGTTTATATTTATATAGATCCACTCATTTTTACATGTATCTCTTATATATGCAACCGGCATATGTTAATAATTGTGATCAGATTAAAATGAAACCTTGTGACATTTTTTGAATAATAATTATAAAAAAGGGTTAAATAATTGAGTCTTTTTTGTGACAATTATGAAAAGGGTTAAGTATGTCATTGATTATATCCTACTAGATTTTATTTTGATCTGCCACAATATGTAAAGATTAATTTTAAGGTTAGGGTTAAGGGTTGCATTAGAGTGAGAGTTAATGTTATATGTGAAATTTTTTCTCCGACGTTTTTGATTAGTGCTCCAAGTTAGATTAGGCATTTTCATTTTCCGGTGTCGCTGGGATGATCAAAAATTATTGGTGTCACTGCAAGTGGACAGACTTCGATATTTTATCATTATTAGCGTTAGTAAAGGTGCGATATCATACTAAGTCATTGAAAAAAATTTAAGGGTTCATCGTGTTTACATGTCCCTGCTAATTAGTACATGTATGTGTATAAGAAAAATGGAAGTTCTATAAAAACATAACTTTTAGTACACACACAAACACAATGAAAATCAAAATAGTAACGTTAACGATACGTAAATGATATCGATGTCATCTTTTAATACACAAATGGATATCAATATTGTGTTCCTGAGTCATACAAACAATCACATATACATGTAAATCGTCATTTCTGTTTACTCGCGCTATCATTTTAAAGTTTTAAATAAAACATAATTACTAAACTAATTTACACCAAATTTATATTGTGTTTCTGTGTCATTTTTCATGCACACAAACAAACGGAAGTTCTATAGAGGAATAACATTCGACTTCCACAGATATAAAATCATTTTAATATCACTAGAAACAATTCACAAAGTGCTCTCAAAGATGGATTCTAAAATTTCGAATACTCATCATTGTAGTGAATGCTGGTATTGTCAAGTACGGAATTACTGCAATGAGTGTTCAGATCACAATACTCATGATTGTAGTAAATGTACCGATTGTCAAGAAAATGAGTTCTGCTGGAAATGTTTTGATTATTACAAACGAATTTATAAACCTGAAGATAAAGATATTGACAATCTAATAAATGAATGCGCGAAGTTTAGTGCTCTTTTTGAATGGATCCCTTTTGAAAGATTTACAGATGTTGAGTATTTTGCAGAAGGAGGTTCTGGCACGATTTATAAAGCAGCCTGGTTGGACGGACCATTGGCTAAGTGGGATCATGAAGAAAATAAATTTAGTCGATTTGGAGGAAGGGAAGTTGTGTTGAAAGCTTTATACAATTCAAAGAAAATTACGTTGGAGTTTATAAACGAGGTAAATAAACAATTTCTAATATAAGCAAGTTACTTTTTGAATCTACTACAATTAAGTTTTTCAAAAATAGACTCTGACTGTTCTAAAATGCATTGATGATGTGACAAATTATTATGGAATAACTAAACACCAAACTACAAATGAATACTTGATAGTGATGGATTATGCAAATGTCAATTTGTACATTCCGGACGAAGGTAAACTTACATTTATTTTTTCAATTCATTATTTTTGCTTTGGTGGTGCAAAAACAGATTCAAATTTTAGTATACCATTTGAATTTCTTTCAAGAAAAACACGATTGTAGTAAATGCACTCATTGTCAAGAAAATAAATACTGCTCTGAGTGTTCCGATTATCACAAACAAATTTATGAAGCTGAATGGCCTAGCGAAGATAAAGTGATTGACAGTCTAATTAAAAAATGCATGAAAGTTCAAAGATTTTTTGAATGGATTCCTTTTGAAAGATTTACCAATGTTGAATATCTTACAAGAGGAAGTTTTGCGATACTTTATAAAGCAAGCTGGTTGGATGGACCATTGGATGATGAGTGGGATCATAAAGAAAATAAATTTAAACGCTGCCGTAAGGAACACGAAATTATGTTGACGTCTATAAACGAGGTAAAAATGAGCAATTTCTAATGTAAGCAAGTTACTTTTTTGTATCTAATACCTACAATTAAGTTTTTTAAAAATAGGCTCTGACTACTCTACAATCCATTGAGGATGCGACAAATTATTATGGAATAACTAAACACCAAACTACAAATGAATACTTGATAGTAATGGATTATGCAAATGTCAATTTGTACATTCCAGACGAAGGTAAAGTTACATTTATTTTTTATTCATTGTTTTTTTTTTTGGTAGTGAACAGATTCCGATCTTTAGTATATCATTTGAATTTCTTTCAAGAAAAACATGATTGTAGTAAATGCACTCATTGTCAAGCAAATAAGTACTGCTCTGAGTGTTTCGATTATCACAAACAAATTTATGAAGCTGAATGGTCTAGCGGAAATAAAGTGATTGACAGTCTAATTAAAAAATGCATGAAAGTTCAAAGGTTTTTTGAATGGATTCCTTTTGAAAGATTTACAAATGTTGAATATCTTACAAGAGGAGGTTTTGCGATAATTTATAAAGCAAACTGGTCGGATGGACCATTGGATGACGAATGGGATCATGAAGAAAATAAATTTAAACGCCGTAATGAACACGAAATTGTGTTGAAATCATTATGTGGTTTAAAGCAAATCACACCGGAGTTTATAAACGAGGTAAAAATGAACAACTTCCAAAGTGCAAGCGAGATGCTTTTTTGATTTTCTAATTCAAAAGTTTTCCAAAAAAAACCAGATCCAGACTGCTTTAAAGTGTACTACTGTACTACGTAGTTCTTTTGGAATAAACTATTATGGAATCACTAAAAACTCAGCTACAAATGAATATTCGATAGTAATGACTTATGCAAAAGATGGCAATATTCGCGAATATATTAATTCCAATTACGAAAGAATTAATTGGTACAAAAAGTTAGAATTTTTATGTGGTGCTATTGATGATCTGCGTAAATTTCACACAGATGGATTTGTGCATTGTAACCTTCACCCTGGCAATATACATGTATTAATACGTGAATATCCTCAGATTTCTGATTTTGGACTTACTGGTCCAGCAGATATAAAAAAATCTGAGCATAAAATTTACGGAGTTCTTCCTTATATGAGTCCAGAGTCATTAAATGGAAAGCCATACACTCAAGCTGCAGATATTTATAGCTTTGGAATGATTATGTATGAGATTGTAACAGACAAACGACCATTTGGTGAACGAAGTCATGATCATTATCTTGTATACGACATCTGCGAAAGAGTACGACCTGAGATAGCAAATAATGTTCCCGGATGGTGCAAATTTATTATTGAAAAATGTTGGAACCCTATTCCAGAAAACAGACCAACTGCTGAGGAACTTTGCGTCTTTATCGGATCTATCTACTACCAAACAGACTACAAACTGAATACTTTGCATTTTCAGTACTACAACTCTCTAAAGAATAAAGAAATTATTGAGTGTGTTGAATTAGAAAGGCAAAAATTTAATGAAATGAAAGATCAAAAAAGCTTTCTTATAAGTACGATCAAAAAACAAAAAATACACCCAAATGCAGTTTACATCAGTCGAATCTTTATTACAAAGTTAATTTCGATGCCTACTGATACAGGTAGCTTTTGCTTCTAAATATAAATCATATTGACTTTTCGTATTAATTAGAATTATATAAAATATTTAGGTTCTACAAGTGTCTGCCTGTATGTTCCAAATGAAGGTAAAATTGCTATTTGATATTATTTTATTAACTTCATTAACTCATTACTATTTTTTCTTTGGGATTGCAAAACAGATTTCGATTTTAGTATACCATACGAAATCAAAGAGAATGAAGAAGTTTCGAGTGTTTTACAAGGAAAACTACAAATTCATGACGAATCACTTCAAACAAAATAATACAATATCAAATTAAGAAAATGGCAACTTCTTTATACTTTAATTAAATTGACGATAATAATAATTTAATTAAAAACATAATGGTCATGATTTTGCCAGTAGTCATGGAATTGATATTATTAACTGTGTTTTACGATTAAATATGACCAAGGTATCATTTTTGTTAGTTATTTTATATAGTTTATTTACATAATCTTTCATATGATTAAAATCTTGTAACACATCAATTTAAAAGCTATTTATAAATATAGTTGGACTTTAGTAATTCCATAATATAATATTTGAGTAATCTTCAGAGATTAGAATCTATTTAAGTATCATACTTATATTTTAGAACTTTTTTATTTTATCTTGTTTATAAACTCTAAAATTTGTAATGATTTCAAACAATGATATTTGACTTTAAATTTATTATTACTGGATGCTCAACTACTATTTTTATTTCATAAATACTAGTTAGAATTTTGTTGAGAAAAATGAAAAAAGGTTAAAAAAATTAGAGAATAAACAGATAATAGTAAAGAGTGATTTAATTTGTTTTCAGATATTTTATTATGTAATTTGAAGTGCGTTTCATATTAAAAAAGCAAAATATTAATTAATATCTTTTTACATATAATTGATATAATTAATCTTAAATTTTTTTATGAAAAAATAATGATGAAACTTAGTATCTTTTAATAAAATATCATAAATATAAAAACAATATTCTCTAAATAAAAAATAATTCGAGATAATAATTTCGAGTTTGAATTATAAATACTGACTTTAAAAGAAACAATTATTTTATAATTTTTATTTTCTAAGAAATAAATCTGAAAATTTTTATAATTAATTTTTTTTGTATCATTATAAAAAGAATATCTCTATCATTATAAACCAAAGTTTTATATTAACTTTATTATAAAAAATTTCAGTAATCACACACAAATATACAAATATATTATATAAAAACAAAAAATTGAGAAGTTTTTAATTAAGTTTAAATAATTAATTATATTAAAAAATATATATAAGTTATAATATAAATACTTTTGTTACTATTACTTTGCATTTTAAAGAGAAATTATTTAGTTAAAACTAGTAATTTAAATATAAAATAACTAATTATTATTTATATTCATAAATAAATTAATTATAAAACAATTATATATATATATAACTTTTAAATTAATATATATACTTATAAATATAAATTTCTTAATAAATTTTATTATTAATTATAAAGATATTATTAAAAAAATAAATATAATTATAACAATATAATTTTTATCAATTATATTTTAATTAACTAATTAGAATTTGCATTAAAATTACAGTTAAAATATTGAATATATACTTGATTATATTAAAGTTATTATATATAATTATTTTAATTTTTACTAAATATAAATTAAAATTTTAATTGATTAAAAGTAAAGTATATAATATTATTAAATCAAAAAATTAATTAATTAAATTGTTATTTTTATCAAAAATATTATAATTTTATAATTTTTATATTATTTTAATTATAATTATAATTATTTCTTTTATTTTTACTTTATATATTATTATATAACTTTCTTTTTGAGCACAAAAATCAAAATAATTATTAATAAATTATATCTTTATAAACTTTTCACGTTATTTTACTTTTATTTTTCTTATACTTTTTATTCAAAAATTATTAATTATATTATAATATATTTTATTTATATTATTAACAAAAAAATATTTTTTTCTTTTTATTTTATTAATATTATTATTTTACTTTTATTTTTAATATTAATTTTTTAATAATATATTTTGTATTATTGAATTATTTTTTTAAATTTTTCTTTTTATTGTAATTTTATAATTTTATAATTTTCTTATTTTTAATTATTAATATATATTTTTATATATGAAAGTTTCTAATTTATTTTCTCTTTGTAATAATTTAATAATTTAATATTATTATTTATATTTAGTAAAATAATTTAGAATAATTATTAATTATATAAATTACAAAAACTATTGAAAATAATTTCTTATTACTAGAAATTCTTATACTCCAATTTAATAAAAATAACTTGTAATATTATATTTATAAATATATTATTATTTTTGTAATTATTTTTAAATCTAAATTATAATTAATCAATATATTATTATTTTTGTAATTATTTTTAAATCTAAATTATAATTAATAAATACTTTTTTATTTTAAATAAGCTATTGATTTTAATATTTTTAGATAATGTCAATAAGTTTTATTTATTTTAATTATTATATTAATATAGTTATTTTGTTTTGTTTTTTTCTTTATTAACAATTTTAATAAGTTTAATAATTAGTTTATTTTGTTAAACAGTCTTAATAAGTTTTATTATTTTTTTAATAATTATACTAGTTTTAGTTTTATTTTAATTTTCTCTTTGTTCTTATTTTAATTTTTAATAATCAATTAGTTTATATATAAGTTACTATAAGAAATTTTTAGAATTTTGAGTAAACTTTATTAATTATAAATTATTTAATTATTAATTCTAACAATTTTGAATTAACAAAAACAATATTTATCTTTAAACAAAAATTTCCAGAAAAATTTTAGTTCTAATTTGTTTTGAATATTATTTATTTAATTATAATAATATTTATTAAAATATATACTATTTATAAAATAAAAATATTTTAGTTCTTTTTAAATAAACTATTAATTTTTAATGAATACTATGAATTTATAGTAGCAATAAAAAAATAAAATATATATATATTATCAAAAATTTTAAAAATAAATCAGTTATTTTAAAATTTGATATTTCAATATCTAATAATTTTATTTAAATTAAGATATTATTATTATATTCATATAGTCAAGATAATTTAATAATATTTTTGTTCAAATGAGATTACTAAATGTTAAAATATCAAAGTGACAAAATCATTTTTGAAATTCTGATAATATACTATAGAAATATATAATAAAAATATAAGTTTTTTTCTTATATATAAAAGTTTATAATTTTATTAATAATTATTTTTTATTTTTATATCAAGGTGGACGACCCATCGTATGATTGTATTTCTAACCATATCTTTACGATGGGATTTCTATTAGTTGGGATGTCATTATATGGCGGGCAGTAGTTCTGGTAAGAGAAGTAGAACGGGAGAACGATATTTTGAGGAATTTCGCACCCGTTCGACTTCTTCTACCTCTTCGATCGCCACTCATATATTCACACATCATCTATAATCCCCTTAATCATAAATTTTGGTTAACATGTTAATATCTTAATGCGGTGTAAAACATTAGCAGAGCCAGTACCATTGAAAAACTTAACTTACGTTATAGTCTCGGACAAGACTCAGAAACTTTCTTTACATTGATATCCATTAAAGCTCGTATTGTGTTGTTGATTAATCCTAGTTACGATGCTACCCCAAAATTCGAGTCGATTTCTACCAAGACTATGATATTCTGTGTTTCGTTCATCGATGAGAATACGGATTTGGTCATCAGTCCACACAACCATTTTTACGATAATGAGAATAAGTAGGTAAAGACAAAGGTTGGTTGCTTTTATAATAGACACATCTTTCTGAGAGGTACGCGAGTGTTATAAATGTATTTCATACATTAAATTTGTATCACCGTCCGTACTTCAACCGTAGTTTAACCATTACTATATTACGATATTTTTCCAAGCGCACCTCAACCGTACATTACCGGTGCTTCAACCACATTTCGGCTAAATAATGTAAGCAATTTTCGAAGGCTTTATCAGAATAATTTTTGGCGTACACTAATCAGGTATTTAAATTGATGCAATTAATCTCATGTTAAGTCACGATGTTTGTAGCACACCCGAAATAGATTTCACACGCCCGAAATATATCACGAAAATTTTTCGACACATTATCAATCTTAATCTGAAAATACGTATATCGATTATCAATGTCGTTCATCTCTACTTCCCACGATTATTTTTTTCGCGAAAGTCGGTTAATCGACGCATTATCAATCTTAATCCTATATACCTCTTATCCTTTTCTTATGTTGCTTCCACTATTCTGTCAAGTTAGGAGGTTTTCTCGATCAGCAGTTTTTTCCTTTCCTAAACTACTTTCCACAAAGACTAGAATTACAGCCAAATCTGACTTATTGAGAGTGAAGTTCCAGCCAGCTTCTTTTGAAGATGTTATTCCTGCCACCAAGGATCCTAGTATGTTTTTTGTCTTTGCCTTAATTAAAACTGACAATTAATTCACATATCATACAGTTGCCTTAATTAAAACTGACAATTAATTCACATATCATACAGTCACAGTTCCGAAAGAATATCTTCTTCCCGAAATCAACCGCCGTGCTGTCTCA